AATTATTTATCTGTGCAATTCATATTGGTATTTCTATTTTACTATTTCCGATCTTTTGTATCAACTCATACGAAACTAAAGGTTCTAGATTCTATGTGAACAATAGTTTGTATCGATACATAATGGTTTGCATCGACTCATTTTTTGGTTGCATCGACACATTCGTGTTTTGCATCGACTCATACATATTTTGTTTCTCTGTAATATGTCTTGATAAAAGTATGTATTGGTACATAATGCATTGTATCGACTCTTCCCATGTTTTGTAACTAACATGAGTCGACTCATATGAGATATGCATAGACTCATACTGTAGTTTTACTTCTAACATTTGTCTGTTACATATATAAGTCAGTTCTGCAGTTAAATCAAAAAAACAAGGTGTCACAAATTCATTTGGTGAGCATATACTTTTCTGAGCATTAGAAACATGAAAGAGACTTCAATCTTCATCATATTTTCAATCATCTTGGTTCAATAAGATCGAAACATAATCATCTTTGTTCATCGGATCAAGGGATCATAAAGATAATGTTCAGCGGTACGATCAGTGATCTTAGCTGAGTTGAAGATTCAGAAGGGGGTTTCGAGGAAAAACCAGAGGGTTTGTCCTTCAAGAACAGATGTGTTCTTGCGGGTTCGTCAGTCACGATTGCACATGTCAGATTCAGCCGTAGCGTAGGGTGTGGAAATCAGGACGATTTCACAAATAAGTCGTGGAGCGGAGGATTGATTGTGGATTTTGCAGGTGATATCTTGATCAACTCATATCAAGTGAAAGTTCATACAAGAAGAAGAAGATCTTAGTGATTAGGTTCTATCTTTGTATTGTAACCTTGTAAATAACATCATCACATTGAAATAACAAGTCTCAATTTCAATTTGGAATTGAGAGGGAGACGTACCCACACGCGAGGACAACAGTGGGGAACTTCCTTACCAAACTGCCTGTGTAACGTTTTCTTTCTCTCTTTCCCTTTACGTTTTCTACACATTTGTGATTCACTTGGTCTGCTGGTTTTTCTGTTCAATGATATAATAATGTCACAAACTCTTTTGCTAAACCACCATTATTGTTGATCATCGAACAAGCATACGCCAACTGTTCGACAAAAGTGCTTGCAAATTTTTGTTCATTGGAAATAGAGTTCTTGTGATAAGCGCATTGAAACGTACATTGGTTTGTGTTAAATTTCATCTATTTCATCTTAATAAAAATCCAACAAGTTTATCGTATGTCCGGTTTTCTAGTAGTCGGTTCAGAATAGACGGAAGTCGATTTGAAACCGTGTTTTTCCACTGTTTTTAATCAACTTTGATAAAAGATTTTATATCCTTGAATAATAAGGAGGTGATCTATTCACCCCCCTCTCGATCACTTGCCACACCGTCTAACAACCCTTAGCTATGAAGAAGCCAAGGATTTATTGAATGTGTTCGACCATCTTCTTTGCATTGTACTTTACTTTCTCTGTGGATTATTAAATTTCTTCTTCTTTTTTGTAGATAACATGACCATTGACAAAAAAGAAAGGCTTATGAAAGGTCTATAGCCCTAATACTTACTTAGAGTACTCTTGTAAAGATTACTAAGAATGCTTCTTTGGCTGAGAAGGTGGGTGCCTTGCGATCGTTGTGATTGATATAACAATGTCTTCTTCGATGGCTTCTTCTCTTGGTATTTTTATGGTCCGTTGTTCCAAGAAAAGGAAAAACTCTACTTCATATGGGTACGAAGAAGTGAAATTTATGTCGATTTAGACTAGATTGCTTACAACTTTCTTAGAAAAGATTTTTGGATTAATTCATGTAGCGGACCGATACTTGCTAGTTCAGATAGTACTCTCAAACTGTAAAAAATTCTTGGTTGAATGTGTTATTTATCTAGCCCGAGTGATGACTCTAACCTGCTCCATGTTCATCGCATACCAACCAAAGAGCCAAAACTTTAGAAAAGAAATTAGAAGTGACTTGCCTTTAAAGTGGAGTTAATAACCACGGAAAATGATAACCTAAAGACAACTTATGAAAATGCTTCTAAATATAAATTTACTATACTCTTTTTTTAATTTTTTACATCATTCGAAAAAGATAATAATTTTTTTCTCTATAATAAATAACAAGTCACAATTATGACAAAAATGGAATTAATACTACTTTAAAAATAAACAAAAATCAATAAAGAAACTCTAAGACTATGTTTAAATACATGAAACGAATGAAGTATAACCCAACAAAGATAAAATTGTTTGAAAATTTAAAAATGAACTAAAACAAATTATTTATTCTGCCCAAATAAAAAAAACACAAGTGATAAAATGAAATAAAATCTTGCTCTTTTAAATAATAAAAATAAAACAAAACAACATTTGGGTGTTTAGTGTTTACATATTCTTTACCCAGTAAATAAATGGCTATAACCTGGTTGTGTAGTCCCCACTGCGATATGGCTATGCCTATGGTACAAGTCTAGAGAGAAGAAGAAAAAACAACAAGGTGAGCTTAAGAGGGATAAGCAAAACTGTCAAACCAAATTTCTCTCATCATGGACACCATCCCTACTTCCATCAACAGGTTTTCCATTCTCTATCTCTCTCCTTGATTCTGAATTCAAGTTCTGACTTGTCAAATTTCTTTTTCTTGCAGTGGTTTGGGATGGAATTCTTCCTCCTTGTTTCAACAATCAAATTGCTTCAACCTACTTTCTCTCCCTCTCAAACCAAAACCCTCTCTCATCAATTTCTCTCTCACTTGCTCCGCCGCCTCCTCTTCCTCCGGTATTCTCCGCTTCTGTCTTACTCTCCTTTGTCTTTTCTGTTAATTCATTCTTCTCTATTTGTTCTTTATCAGAAAATCGGTGAATAATGGTATCGGTATCGGTATCGGCACTTTTCGAAACTGTTTTGCTGCAGCCGTTTTCACGGTAACAGTCCGTTTTTAAAACTTTGGGCAAGAGAATTTGACTTGGATGGTGTGTTTCATTTTTTATATTATCAGATCCTCTCTTGGTTAAAGCTGCTAGAGGAGACCCGGTTAGTCGTCCTCCTGCATGGATGATGCGCCAGGCAGGAAGGTACATGGCCACTTACAAAAAGTTAGCTGAGAAACATCCCTCCTTCCGAGAGAGGTCAGAGACAACTGATCTCATTGTAGAAATTTCCTTGCAGCCTTGGAAAGCTTTCAGGCCTGATGGAGTCATTATTTTCTCCGACATCCTTACACCTCTACCTGCATTCGGGATTGACTTCGACATAGAAGACGTCAGGGGACCTGTAATCCAGGCACCTATCCGCTCTGAGGAGGGATTAAAGGTTTTACACGCAATTGACTTCGACAAGCTTAGATTTGTCGCAGAATCCCTTAAGACCCTGCGGAAAGAGGTAAAAATTGGTTGTTTTTCTTGGTGATTTTTCGAAGGCTGTTTTTCTTACTTGTTGTTCTTTTATTTAGGTTGGTGGTGATGCTGCTGTTTTAGGTTTTGTGGGAGCGCCTTGGACATTGGCAACGTATATAGTTGAAGGTGGCACAACTCGCACGTATACAAACATTAAAAGCATGTGCCATACAGCACCACACATATTGAGGACTCTACTTTCTCATTTGACAAAGGCAATAGCAGATTACGTTGTTTTCCAAGTCGAATCTGGGGCTCACTGCATACAAATCTTTGATTCATGGGGTGGACAGCTACCTCCGCATATGTGGGAGCTTTGGTCAAAGCCTTATATCAAAGAGGTAACTATAGGAAAATCATCACTTCTTTCTTGAATCATAAAATTGTTTTAGGTTTTCAAACTTTTCGGTGATTAGCCTAATTTAACCAATTTCTGTTCGTTATATGCTACTTTTTGAACTTCTAGGTTGTAAATTTGGTGAAGAAAAAGTGCCCAGAGACACCACTTGTTCTTTACATAAATGGAAATGGTGGCCTTCTCGAGCGTATGATAGATACTGGAGTTGATGTTATCGGATTAGACTGGACAGTGGATATGGCTGATGGAAGAAGAAGATTAGGTAGCGAGATAGGCGTGCAAGGAAATGTGGACCCTGCTTACTTATTCTCTCCTCTTACTGCCCTGACAGAAGAAATTCAGAGGTTGGTGACATAACCGCCATTTACTTTAGTATTCTTATAGTCATTCTAGGGGAGGCTAAGCTATCGGAGCAATGCTACATGGCATAGCAGTTTGTTCAAACTCAAATTCCGCTATGCTACATTGCTACAGTGCTGTTATAGCCACTATTAGACAACAGTTTGTAGAGAAATGAATTTTGTTGATGAATTATCTTAATTTCTTAATATGATGATTACATGTGACTGTCAGGGTTGTGAGGTGTGCGGGGCCTAGACGACACATTCTTAATCTTGGGCACGGTGTTCTTGTTGGTACACCAGAAGAAGCTGTTGCACATTTCTTTGATGTAGCCAGAAGCTTGGAGTTTGACACAGTCCCTCAAAATAACACTGCAAATGTAGTTTAAAGGAAAATGCCAATAGTGTAGCCACTTCTTGTACTTTTTCTGGTAGATCAAGCCATTTCTGGAAGAGTTCAGGTTCAGTCCTTCCTAACGCAACTATGCGATGATGATCAATTGATCATTGTCTGAGAATTTGCACATTACCTTGTCGGCTAATTTATGAAAATAGTCTGCATTTTTCTGTCTTTCGTAATTGTTTATGATAAAAATCAATATACTAATTAGAGGATTCCTTCCATTGTTTGAACACTAATTATGTTTTCATTACAGAAAAAACACAAATTATACAATGACATATAAACCTTTGATTTCATTACAGATAAAACCAAGCTAACAAACTTAAGGTAACTTATGAGCCAACTGTATTAACTTATTCTTGGTTCCCATTGAAAATTTAGATGCATTTCTTATTCTGAAATAAAAAATATACAATACAATCCTTATATTTATTTAACTTTTGTATCTTTTGAAGGGTGTGTCCATGCACACGGTAAAATGTTTCACAAGAATTTTCAGGCTTGTCAAAACACTTGACAATTAAACTTGTCGCTGGAAGATCGGTCACCATATTGGTGTAGAACCTCATTCAGAGTTTTGAGAGCCTTGTCATATGACACAAACCCCATAAAAAAGAACTCGTAACCATCCACTGTCACAATCTCGATGTATTTTTCTTTTGAGTTAAATATATTTGTTGAAGGACTAACTGCTCTCAGCTGATCCAGCTGCATTACCACCTACAAGTTAATTTTCACTCAAAATCAACACTTGATGGATGCCATAAAATCACTGATACATGTTGATGCTAAAGATGCAATGAGATAAGGAAGTACCTTATAGTAGATACATTGGTGCTGCAAGGAGAATGGATAGTGACAGAGTGGATAGTCACTGCAAAATGCCAACCTTTTGTTTGTTATATAAAGTGTTCCTATCACAGGTCCTGAGATTTTTGATATGTAACAAACATGTTGCTTTAACAGTTTCTCTCCTTGGATAGCCCCAAATGTTTGCTGAAATAGCTTATCAGACCCTCCATTTGCAATCAGTTTTGTTCCCTGAACTAGTCTAGCCATTGCAGTATCAACTGGACTAGAACTCATTCTCACTGCACACAATGAATGATACTGGATTCCATTAGAATAAAGTTTCAATGCCAAATAATATTAACACACAAATTCTAACTCATACCAGCATAAGTAAATAACTATGTATTCATAACCCTTCTATTGCCACCCCTAGTGAAAATCAAGATTGGTAAGCATTTATAAAGCACCGACACAAACACGTCACATACTATTATACGTTGACACATAACCTTATGTGCGTTTGAGATATCTAGCTGTATGATTGTGAGAAGCTATGTCTATGACTTTGTGGAGAAAAAATTAGAGTTCCCCTCCTCAATCCTAAGACTGAGGTATTTATAGAGTTATCTTGGCCCGGATTGACTCTCCCTCCTTGAACTATTCCTCTAGCTGATTATTACTTAGATACCTTGCTGGCCACATAAGATAAGTGAATGGTTCAATTCGGGCGGTTCAAGCTCAATTGGGCGGCCTATGCCCGTTTAGGGAAGCCTCTCACCCTGTGTAGGGGCGCTCACCTAGTATTGAGGCAATTAGTTTGGATCGTTTGACATGAACCTTTCTTCTTAGAGCCCGATAAAATTATCTCAGTCAAAATTAAACGTAACCAAATATGTTGGTATCAATATCATGTGTGACACATGTTGGACACATAACATGTCTTTGTTGAGAAGTGTTGGTACTTGGTGCTCCTGCGATAAGGTAGGAAGTACAAGATAGATAGATATATTTGCTGCAATAGAACTGAAAGAGTAAACTTTACCATGGTTCCAAATATTGGTAACCATGCTCTCAGCATGTCTACCTGCTTCTTCAACCTTCTTACTACAGTTATTTAGTGCACCACTTATTTTATCCATTGGATTTGGATCTGAAAATCATAACAACAGGGTCATCAACATCACTAAAAAATATAACAACTTTAGTTACAAAAAAACACAAAATCTCATAGAAATCACTTACGGTTGGCAGCAGCAGGAGCAGGGTTAGGGTTAGCAGGAGAAAGATGAACATAAGGGTTGTTGCTATTGTTATGCAAGCCAGTCCTAGTAATTGTTCCATCAGTAACTGGAATTTCTCTGTGATTGTAGCTCATTCTCTTGTTTAGTAGCAGAAGAACCAAATAATACTAGTGGATACAAAATTCGAAAGAGAGAAGATTAGAAGAAGATGAAAATGAAAGAAAAGTGGAATAGTAGAAACTTGGTTGATAATAGTTTGAGAAATATATGCTGATGTGAATGTTGAGGAATATAACATCACATCACATTGCCTTTTAAATACATTAATGTATGAAAATGGTTTTCCATGCTGCTGGTTTGCATTAGTTGTGAGAATATAGTGTGAAAGGTTTTGTTTGGCTTTATCATTGTTAAAGTGCATGAAATCTTAAAAGAGTTTCTGAAAAATAAAATATCGAAGAGCATATTTGAAGTGGTGTGTGAATGTTTACTTGTTTAGGAATTGGGATTAAAGTGAAGTACTTCAAGAGTTGATTATGGAGAATAAATTCAAGGTAATGGAAAGATAACACCGAAAGAGAGATGCTGCTGCTGTGGAATAAGATGCCAAAAAAGCGTATTATCATGGAGGAAATATATGATATTTAGTCGACTCATTTGAAAGAATCGGCCAAAATAAAATTTTAGGTTTAAATCATGTCATTTAATAGATATACGAGAACATTTAAATATAAAATTGTAAGTTTGTATCGATGACATTCCAATTATTTAATTTGAAATAGTGAATTTTTGGCCATAACAATATTTGGTATTTTTTTATAAATTTTATAATTTTAATAAAAAAATGTTTAGAAACTTTGTACCTCCAATAAAAAGTTGAATTTCAGCACATGGTTAGTGGGCTTGTCAATTGTTCAATGCTTCAAGTAGTCCAAAGTTAAACAGTATTATAGAAACTGTCTCTCTCCATTGCTTGCTTTTTCTTAGTCAGCCACCTTTTTCTTTGTCTCCAAATTGAGCTCTAATTCTTCTCTTTTAGTAGCTCACTCGCTGCCTTCAAATTGTAATTTGTATCATCAATCTATCTACAAATCCATTTTCATTCCCTTTCCCGCAGGTAGAAAAAAAAACAAACTGAAAACAGATAATGCATGTGGATTAATATGTTAGCACTGCCATGTGTATATAGAAACTTGGAATAAACATTAACCCAAAACTCATTCCCAAATAGATACCAAGAAAACCGAGACCTCAAAAAGAAAAAATGGATCTATTCTTAGAACTACACCAAATAGGAAGAATACCATCACTTCTATCAAAAGATGAGATGAAGCTCCAATCTCAGAAGAGACTATCCCACAAAGAAGTCACAAGAGCTTCAGAAACCTCAGCCAACTTAATCTTTTAAATTGCCACAAATCTAAATTGTTAGTCGAGATAAGATCTCTCACCTTATTCTTCTTAATCTTGCATCTAAGCCTCTAAAATTAAAGGAAAATATCAAAATATACTTTGAGCTCTAGACGACTGACCTATCTTCCTATCTTGAGTTTCTAAAGTCATATGTTTTTTAACCTACCCAAATGATTAATTAACTTATGAAACTTTTTTGCTAACTAATGACAGTCACTATTATGTGATCTTTAGTAGTAAATTCGGAAAAAAACATTAAAATAATGAGTAAAAGTCAAGATAAAGTGTGGAGAATAGAGCAAAAACTACAAAGAGTGGAAGAATGAGTACTTAGAAAAATTATGAAGAAAAAGAGAAGAAAAAGACAACTTTAGTTTCTGGATTTTATGCGCACACGATGCATTCCATCTTGGCGTGATGCAGGCCTAATTGTGGCACGATGCTAAGAAAATTTCAACTTTAAATACAGAATGTTAACTACTTTTTTAGGGTTCCAAATTTGATAGAGAAAGTGACAATTTGGAGTACCAAAGTGACGATTTTGAGGGGTTTGTAAGTCATTAAAGACCATTATCTTCCTTGATTTTCATGTTCTCTTCATCTAAACTCATGATAATTGGTATCACAACTATGAGTAGCTATATTCCTTAGATTATGTCTTTTTAGACAAACCTTCTTATACTTGTTAGATCATATGTCTGTTTGATGTTAATTGAATTATTTTACGTTATTGTTATTATTTAATTGTTCTTGATCTTAATGTCTTTTATGTATTGACGAAAGCATGAATTGATATCAGATGAGTAGGGATTTCTAATCGTTAGTCCACCCATCCGATCTAGGACAATTATTCAACTTAGTAATTAACTAGGAATAGATAATTATAAATTGTGGCTTTTGAATTAACGAGCTTAGAACGCCTAATTTAACTCTAAATTGGCATAAGGAATTAAGTGCAGTGATCGTGTTAATTCGACGTAATACTTTGATATTTTATAAATTCGATTAATACATAATTTATCTACAAGTATAAGTAGGGAAGTTGAAAGAAGATCTAATCGCCTTTCATTATCGAATTTTAATCCAAGCATTTTCTCGTTTTATTTGCGAACCAAATCAATCTTGAAACTCTAATTGTTATTTACTTTAACTCGCACATAGTTACCTTGTTAAAATTCACAATCCTTGTGGAGACAAATTTTTATTTTATTACTTCGACGAGACTAGTACACTTGCTAGAATTGTCATCACTAAACTAATTTGTAAACTACCTGTGGGCAGGATAAAAACTTCACAGGAGACAACAAACATGAAAATAGTCGAGAAACAACACCATCCAAACACAATAGATAAAGAGAATCCCTGAGAACTCCGACGTTCTTCTAGAACAAACGTAGGAACACTATCATGCAGACATAAAACAATAAAAGTATGAGAAATAACAATACCTTAGTCTGAGAGTGGAGAGAAGTAAAATAGACACCTGATCTGGCATAGACACTAAAGCTAAGTTCGATGCTCGAACCTTGTGTGACGAAGGTAAAGAAAAGTGAGATAAATTTAGAGAAACATATGCGAGACCAAAAGTATAACTCATAGGAGTTGAGGCCCCCTCAAAATCACCATTAAGAGACCCTGAAAGAGAAAATAAAATCTCATTATGCACTCTACTAGGAATCTTAGGCAACTCCTTAGCCAAAGATGAAAAGAAAGCTAAGATGGGGCATTTGGGCGACACAAATTATTCCCGAGGAGGTACTTTGGAAAAAATAGGGAGAAAAAGAGAAATGAGCTAAAGAATCCTTATCCACACACGCCTTTTCAGGGGGAGGGGAGGGTAGGAATGTCCACAACAGGGGGCTAAATTTCACTATCAAAGGAAGACTCAAAACCTTTATTCTTGTCCATTTGGCAGAAATCAACAAGGCCCAAAGGAAAATATTTTTTTATTATTTAAATCCACATTAAGCTCCATTTGAGAAAAACTGATCAAACTTCTAAATGAAATAGGCCTTAAACTATGCATGTTATTCAAGTACTATAGGCCAGGTAAATATCAATTTCTACACATAAAAATGGATTCTACACCACACTCTTTCTGCCACCTACTTTTTCTACATGCATGACAACATAATACGTATCCGCAGGGACCCACCCGAGTCTGGTCTAAGTTTGATGGGGGAAAATCCACTTTGACCGAGTTTGAGGTTGTGTTTGAGTTTTCCCCAATTATAAAATTTAGGGATGGGTAAGGTAATGAAGACACTTGTACCCGTAACGCCGCAAATATTATATTTATTGTTTGATTGGTTATTTGTGAATTATATGATGTAATAGGTGATTTGATTTTGATATGTGTGGGATAGTGTCAAATTAAAATAATAATGAGAATTATTTTTAATTTAAATAATTTAGTTAGAATTATTTGGATTTAAGAATAATTGTTTAAAATTTATTTATTAAATAAATAGAGTAAAATATGTAGAAAAGATAAAGGGCAAAGTGGTAATTGTCATAAGGTTTAATGAAGGTAAGGAAGGAATGTCATATTAGGGGTCTAAGGGCTAAACTAGTAAAAAGGAGGAATAGAGAGTTGAATTATATCATTTGAAACGATCATACTCAGAGAGAAGTAGAAATACGAAGGTGAGAAAGAGCTAGGACAAAAGGAAGCCATTATTGAAGCGTGGGAACCATCAATCTAAGGTAAGGGTGGGGTTATAACTTTCTAAGGGTATTGTGTAATGATGGGTATGTTAGGGATTATGAATTGCCATAGTTGTCGTGTGTTCTTGTTTATGAATTTACTTTTGTGTGAATTGAACCCATGTGATAATATGATGATTTGGTGATGAAAACTGATGAAATATGTGATGTTGTTTTGCCATGATTTGATGTGTATAATGCCTATCATGATGTGCTGTTGTTGTATTGTGAAAACATATTGATTTTGGTGAGTTTTGGGACTGTACTTTGGTAAAATCGTATGAGAATTGGAACTGGTATGATGCAAAAATCACAACAGGAAGTTGCTGTTTCACACGCATCGCTGGGCGAGACAAGTGTCGCCGAGTGAAGAGGTTCCTTCCAAACATTGTCGGGCGAGACTCAGGCGAGGGAACTTGGGAAAACACATGCTCATGAAATAAGTGAAGCGCCTCTGCTTCACTGGGCGAGCGAGGAGCGAGGGTGGCCGCTCTTATTTCTCCGGGCATCACGTGGTTGGATACAAGCGTGGCACACAATCTCCCCAGACTCAACCAATCGTTCCTCTCTATGCAAAACAACCACCAGACAGTTTTCGGACTCCTCGTATGAAATTTCCCCTCGAGACATGACAACTCCTCGAAACCGCTCAATTGTTTCTCTCCCTGCAAGACAGACACGACGAGCGTTACTCATACTTATCGTACAAACTCAACCAAGAAGTACCCTCGTTCTTGCAGGCTGCTTCTAAGTCATCACTCCTATGACCAGGAGCAACAATTTTGGGGGCTCCTATTCTAGACTATCCCAATGACTAGAACTGGCTCAACCCGCTTCCACCTTTGGCACGACCCAACAACAGTAGTCCAACACTCTGGTCGACCATACCCCTGAGCACACGACCAGATATGCCCGACACGCATGTTTGACTTAGTTAGCAGGTGTCTTCCGTCAGCCCGACACGAGTCAGGCGGACACCTAGGAAACGACCAAAATGTCCATCTGCCTGTAATCC